GCACAACTCAAATTTGATATAGGTTTTTTAAATTGGATTTCAATTTCTAATCGTTTAGGGAACAATTCAAATTCGATCAGTGATCGTCTAGGGCACAAGATCTCTCAACTCTATTTCAATCTCTTCTCTACGCGAAGGCTAGGGTACATAATTATTCTCTGCTCGATTCCCCTACTCAATCATCCTAGTGATGGCCTAATTATTCTCTGCTCAATTCCCCTACTCGATCATCCTAGTAATGGCCATCCGAGCATCTTAGTGTGATTTATTGCCTTTGAACAACTATTCTACGGTTATGTTACTACAATTTATTGTATTGTGATTTAGTGTTTGATCAATTTCCATTAAATGTTTCCAAGGGTTAATTTTGTTAATTTTTTTTGGATGTAATTGCTTCTTCACTTTGTCTCTCTGCCAGTTTCTAACGGTTCAGGTATCATCCCATCCTAACTTTGTTCAAGTGTTATTTGGAAAATAACGATAGACTTTTCTTGTGTCTGTTTAAATGCTTATATATATATATGGAATAAGGCTTGGTGGTCCTTCATGACACTAGAGTTGGATTAAACTTTGGGGTTAATCAAACTTTGGTGTCATGAAGTTGGAATCATCCTTTTACCTCTTAAAGTTGGATTATCTCTGTTTTTGCCCAGCTTAATATAGCATAAAGAATTTTAGAGATAGATGAGAGAAACAGAGGAAGATGATGAGAAAATATATTTTCTGTATATATTTCATTGTCATCCTGATTGTACATTTATAGACTGTACAATAACTATTTGATAAGATACATGGTTTGAATTTACAAAATACGTGAGCTAAATCTTCGGATCCTTATCAAGTTTTTTGTTTATTTATCCTTGGAGATCTTATCAGATTGTTGATGAAGATTATTCTGAACTTGAGCAGCAGCAAGTTGTTGGATGGCTAACGGCACTTGGTGTTTATCTGAACTGGTTTCCTCAATACGCCCCTGCAAACTCAACAGGGAGGTGATCACGTTGAGATTGTCTCGTAGAAGCTGAAAACGTTGGGCAGGCAACGGTTTAGTAAAAATGTCAGCGACCTGGTCATTGGTTGAGATGAATCGAACAGTGAGATTCTTGGAGGCAACACGATCTCGAACAAAATAAAAATCTATTTCAATATGCTTTATGCGGGCATGAAAAGTAGGATTGGAAGTGAGGTAAGTTGCACCAATGTTATCACACCGAAGTGTTGGGGCATGCGGTAGAAAGATTCCAAGCTCCCGAAGGAGTGTTTGAATCCATAAGAGCTCGCCAGTGGCAATTGCTAAGGAGCGATATTCAGATTCTGTGCTTGAGCAAGAAACAGTGGATTGTTTGCAGGAGCTCCATGAGATGAGATTTTTGTCGAGAAAAATAGAATAGCCACCAGTAGACTTCCAATCATCAGGATTGCCCGTCCAATCTGTATTTGAGAATGCATGAAAGGAGATGGGGCTATTCTTTCGAAGTAATAATCCATAAGAGATGGTGGCCTTGAGATATCGCAAGATGCGTTTCACCGCTTGCCAATGGATTTCAGTGGGACGATGCATAAATTGGCAAACTTTGTTAACTGGAAAGGAGATGTGTGGCCTTGTTAAAGAAAGGTATTGGAGAGCCCCAACAACACTGCGGTATGTAGATGGATCAGAGAGTGTTGTGCCGTGAAAAGCAAATAAAGAAGTATGACTAGCCATGGGAGTGTTAACAGGTTTTGCAGTGGCCATGTTGGTGCGTTGTAGGAGATCAAGTATATACCTTCGTTGAGAAAGAAATAGGCTAGAGGGTAATGACATCGCCTAAATTCCCAGAAAATAATTTAGACTTCCCAGATCAGTGACAGCAAAATCCACTTGAAGTTGTTTGAGTAGCTCATCAATTACAGTAGGGTCAGAGCTCGTGATAATAATGTTGTCAACATAAATCAAAACAAAAAGCATCATATTGGATTGCTGAAGAATGAATAGAGAAGAGTCAGCCTTAGAGGATATAAAACCAAAAGCAGTGAGAAATGTACTAAGTTTAGCAAACCAGGCTCATGGTACCTGTTTTAGGCCATAAAGAGCTTTGTGAAGTTTGCAAACATGGCTTGGCAAAAAGGGTGAACAAAATCTTGTGGTTGAGCCGTGTATACTTCTTCGGTGAGCTCCCCGTGTAAGAAAGCATTTTTAATATCAATCTGACACATCGACCAGCCACGAGACACAGCGATAGATAGAATAACTCGGATGGTTATAGATTTAACTACAGGGCTAAAAGTCTCATTAAAATCAATGCCAGGAACCTGATGAAAAACTTTGGCGACTAATCGAGCCTTGAAGCACTTGATAATGCCATTTGAATTCCGTTTGATACGGTAAACCCATTTATTCCCCACAATGTTCATGGTTGGAGAGTAGGGAACTAATGACCAGGTGTCATTCTTTAATAGGGCATCAAATTCTGAGTTCATGGCAATGCATCAATGGGCATGCTTAGAGGCCTGGGTGAAGGTGGTGGGTGTGAGCTCTTCACATGATGCTTCAATGAGCAATGCACGAGGGAGAGAGTAGCGCACTGTATCATCATGATGTTGTTTGGGCTTGAATATGCCATGCTGTGAACGAGTGGCCATAGTGTGAGGAGCCACGGGTGCAATAGGAGAAGTAGTGGGCAACAACGCATTTTTAGTTGGTATGGTGGAACCTGCAAGAGAAAGGTCAGTGTTGGGTGACAAGATGGGTGAAGGACTTACCATAGGAGTCTCGTGGGTTGAATTTGAAGTGTGGGTTGAGCTGGAAGAGATAGGCCGACTAGAGGGAGACCCAAGAATAGATGGGGACCCATGAAAGACTGGGAGAGAGATGTCTGTTTGAGACTGAGATGGTGTCCCTGTAGAGTTAGTATAGAAAACAAATTGAAAGAGAGATTCATTGAAGACAACATCACGAGAAATATAGAGTCCCTCAAATTCAAGATGAAGACATTTGTGACCATGATGGGTAAGGCTATATCCTAAGAACACACATTGAGTGGAGCGGTAATTAGTTTTATGGCGATTGTATGGTCGAAGAAGGGGCCAACAAGCACAACCAAAAATTTTTAGAAAGGAGTAATCAGGAATTTTGTGAAAAAGTTTCTCAAATGGGCTTTGGTTGTTAAGGGTGGGAGTGGGCCTGCGGTTTATTAGATAACATGCAGTCTTAAATGCATCCGCCCAATATTGAGGAGGAACAGATGCATAGGCCATGAGGGCAAGCCCTGTCTCAATAATGTGACGATGCTTACATTCTATGGATCCATTTTGTTGATGGGTATGTGGACAAGTCAGACGATGGGTGATGTCGTGTTGTTTAAAGAAATTATTAAGACGGCAAAATTCACCGCCCCAATCACTTTGAAATGATTTAACCTTACAATCAAACAAGCGTTCCACATGAGTTTGGAATATTGGAAAAATACGTTTAACATTAGATTTGTGAGAGATAGGATAAAGCCAAGTAAAGCGACTAAAAGCATCAAGAAAAGAAACATAAAAACGAGATCCATTAATAGAAATTGTGGGAGAAGGTCCCCATACATCACAAAAAATTAACTCTAAAGGAGAAGAGAATGTAGATGATAAATTGAAAGGAAGTTGACGACTCTTGCCCTGTTGACAAGCAGAACTAACAAGTGCAAATTTATTTGAACTAACAGGTAGGTGATGCTTGGAGCTGATACTACGAACAAGTGGAAGAGTGGGGTGGCCCAAACGTTGATGCCATGTATCAAGGGAGACAGGTTCTCCAATAAGAGCAACAGGAGTGGAGGACTTGGATTGTGAGTGGAATGAGTAGAGCCCATTTTTAAGTGGTCCTTGATGGAGGATTTTGTGGGTGACCTTGTCCTTAAGCAAAAAAAAGTTAGGATGGAATTCAAAATAGCAAGAATTATCTTGAACAAATTTAGAAACAAAGATGAAATTTTTAGAGATGTGAGGAACAAGTAGAATATTACACAAAAGAAATTGAGAGGTGGGTGTAGAAAGATTTTAAGAGTCAATGTGATGTATGGATAAAGCCTCACCATTACCAACTTTGATGTGCTCATTGCCCGTGTACTCCTCTGCATGCAGATTGAAATTTGCAAAGTCTGAGGTCAAGTGATGTGTGGCTTCTGAATCTAGATACCAGTTGAGATCCGTAGGGAGTTGAGGCATGGCAACATAAGCGGCAAGGTTGGGAGTTTCATTGTGAAAATTGTGATCAAAGCAATACCAGCAAATAAGTGCTTGATCACCAGGTTTGCCACAAACCTGATAGGTGGGCCTATTTATAGTAGATCCCACTGGTTGTTGCTGAGAGGTCGATCCAGTGTAGTGAGGACGCCCACCACGTCCACGACCCCTGCCTCCACGGTTTGAGAAGTGTTGGGAGCGACCATTATTTGAATATTGTGGTTATGGTGATCTGTTGGGACCTCCACGAGTATTGTTTTTGGCTGCAAGATGGACACTGGGAAAGACGGTGTTAGTAGAAACTTGGTGGAGCTCAAGTCGATTTTCATGAGCTAAGAGATGACCGAACAGTTCATCAATGGAGAAAGGGTCAATCCATGTAGTAACGGAAGTGAAAAATGGATCATACTCCGGTCCCAAGCCAGCAGGAATGAAGGATATAAGCTGGCAATCTGTGAGAGCTTCACCAGCAGCAACTAAGTCATCATAATAGCCCTGTAATTTTTGAAAATAATCAGTAATGGAATCACCACCTTTCTTGATGGTGGCAAGCTTGAGGTGAGCTTGAATGGTTCTAGCACAAGAGTGAGAGGTGTACATGCGATCCAGAGCACACCAGAGAGCACAAGAGGTAGTGCAACCAACAACATGGGGAAGGATCTGCTCTAAGAGAGAAGACATGAGAATACTGAGGACCAATTGGTCTGTTTGAAGTCATGTGAGAAAGGCAGGGTTGACCATAGTAGCATTACTAGAGTCTGAAGGAGATTTAGTATGAAGAGTTTGTGGAGGAGATGGAGTGGAACCATCGACATAGTGATAAAGGTGCTGGCTACGGAGATAAGGTGTAATCTGGGCTTTCCAGAGGATAAAGTTGTCACGGGTTAGTTTTATAATGACAAGATGATGAATAGAGGATGGAGTTGGAAAGGGAGGGGCACGAGAAGCGTTGGTAATTTGAGGAGAGGTTTGAGAGGACTGTTCTGAGGCCATGGTAACGTGAGTCAATTGCTCTGATACCATAAAGAATTTTAGAGATAGATGAGAAAACCAGAGGAAGATGATGAGAAAATATATTTTCTGTATATATTTCATTGTCATCCTGATTGTACATTTATAGACTGTAGAATAACTATCTGATAAGATACATAGTTTGAATTTGTACATTTACAGACTGTAGAATAACTATCTGATAAGATACATAGTTTGAATTTACAAAATACATGAGCTAAATCTTCGAATCCTTATCAAGTTGTTGTGATTGTTTATCCTTGGAGATCTTATCAGATTGTTGGTGAAGATTATTCTAAACTTGAGCAGCAACATGTTGTTGGATGGCTAACGGCACTTGGTGTTTATCTGAACTGGTTTCCTCAATATAGCATAATTGGGTTGTAAGACCTCGTAAAAAATTTAAAGATGAGCAACATAATTTTAAGAGTACTTTCATAAGAAGTTTGAATCGTTGTTGAAGGAATGATCATGAAGCATGAATTTTTCGAGTATTGACTTTCGGGTTAATTTAGTTTTTGGGGTATTTAAGCTTGAGAAGAATGGTTAGGTAAGTTTCTATATAATTTTAAGTCTAAATAAAACTATCATTGAATTTAGAAGGTCGAAAAACTTTAAAATATGTGATATGAGGTGTATTAGAGATTTAGAGGTGTTTCGGGCCAAATTACAAAATTTGGGGCTCCGAATGAAATTTATAGTACTTCTCATAAGAATTTAAGGACCCCAAATTACCAAAAAAAAAAATTTGGTCTTAGCCAATGTCTATGTGATCGAGACAATAAATGGTATCGCCTAGCAAAACACTTTTGATGTCTTATTCTATAGTCAATTGTCTATCACTGTGTACCCATATTTCAGCTACATAAACAACCCACATGATGTCTCACTCGACTACGCTTTGTTCAGATCAATAAACCTCAAACATGACAACAACATGGCTTACAACAATATCTTCGACGCAACCGTTGATGCATTTGTGTATGCCATGGTGAGAGAAGGGTTTGAAGGGATTCCGGTGGTGGTGACGGAGACAGGTTGGCCAACGGTGGGCGGCGAAGCGGCGAGCGTTGAGAATGCGTTGGATTACAATGGGAATGTTGCGAGACGGGCGTTGAGCGATCCAGTGTCGCGCAGGAACTGCATGAGAGGAACCATGGCCGGCAGGAGACTGTGGTCGAAAGCTCCGGAGGAAGGATGGTATGAACTGGACAATATCGTCGCTGCATGGGAGGATGAGAGCTTGATTGTGTCAGCAACGCCTAGCATATGAAGTGCTTGATATAAGTTCCCAGTGGCTCGGACTACATGTGGTGTGTAAAATGAGTCTTTTAAGAAGACTTCGTTGCCAACGGCAATGTACCGGACTTGATTTGCAGGAATGTGGGCAAGGATGTGGACTGAAGCCATTCTAGAGACTAGTTTACAATGCCGTTGGCGAGGGAAGGTAGGGCCTCGTTGGGGACACCGATCATAAGCTGGATTCGGATGCCGGAGAATGGTTTTAATGCATCTGGGTCAGCCTTGAAGAGGCGAATTCTTGTAATTCCGTTGGATTTGATAAGGTTGAGAACGTCGGAGGGCTGAGGAAGATTGTTTGAGACCCGGCCGTAGCAAACTCCCGACTGGTGCAGCAGCTGCAAAAACCAAGAAAATCAAAATGGTCAAAGAAAGTAAGAAACTGCAAAACAGAAAGCCTAAATAACAATGTTCTGGTTACAAATGGGTCTGGGTGATACCTGTTGAATGTAGGAAGAGGAAGAAGATGAGAGAGACTAGAGAGACAAAAAGGGGCTGAGTTTTCATTCTCATTAGCACCATTGTGGAAGAGTACAATGAAAATTGAGTATTTAATGGATACAAGTATATATTGTATGGGAATTTATACAATGAAATACAAAGAAGAAGTGTTAGGTTCTGGAAGTTGGTTTGATTTTGGTTTGAAATAGTTTCTTTTGGGTTTGCATTGCTTTCTCTTGAAATGTGTTTCATTGAAGTAGCCGTTTCAAGATGTGGCCTTTGAACTTTCAAAATGTTGGTGTTATGGAAAGTTGAAAGTGAGATTGATATTAAAATTTAAGTTAATATACAAGTTGAATTCAAACGTTGTTGTTTAAAAAAAAAAATTGCCTATCACTTAATATGTATGAACTGTAATTTATATTTCTTAGGTTGAATTTGTGGTCCTCTATCCGAAACTAACTATAACCATTTTTTACTTAATGAATTATCGTTTAAACTAATTATAATCATATTTTAAACAATATTGCCTCATTTATTCTAGGACAATTCATCTTACACAAATACCTAATTATATCCATTTAAAAAAAGTTCATTTTTGTAATCCAAACATGATTTGATTCCTCCTTGTCTATTTCTTCATCCTATGACAGGTCCAATTTGACTTCGAATAATAAAAGTTTCATGTACAAAACTTGAAATATGTTCTCATTTAACAATTTTGCCAAAAGACAGAAGGTGCATGCCCAATTTCCTTTCCAAACTAGTCCATACTATCACCACACTCATGCTAAAAGTTTAAGTTTCAGTTCCGCATTTCTACATCCTTAAAGTTGCCGAAAAACTGGTACAAATTAAAGAATAAACCAAAAAAAGGCAAAAAATACTGGGACTTGCCTGACCCATATAGCATGACGTAGAAAAATAATAATAGATGCAATTAACAACAGACTATGTTTATAGGACCCAACAAAAAAAGAAAAATAATTCCTTTATTTATTTGCACTTGATTCTTTTGATCACTTTGTAACTGAAAAGATAAAAGAAAGAAAAACAAAAAAGAAAGTTGTGATTTATCATCCATATAAAAAAAAAACTACAGTATATGCTTCCTCTTATGGCTGACATGAACTTCAGAAACTTCCATGCACCATATCAGTGACCAGGTCCTCTAGGGCTAGGTCCCGATGCCAAGCGTTCAAGCCAGCATGACAAGGTCTCTTTTGCATGCTCGTACATCGAGGGGTAAGCCGCAAGGTGATTTGCACCGGCAAAATCCTCAGATAACACCCTTGTACACTCAACATGAACTTGACTCGTAATGGCAACAACACTGAAGAAAATGAACAAAAGGGTAGTTGCTCTCCAGAAATTCATTGTCGTAATTATTGCTCAGATGAAAACAGTGAGGACAGTTTTTGTAAGAGTCAACCTTAAGCTGTCGAAAAGCAGATTTTCTTAGATGAAGTATGAATGGTTTGTTGGCTCTGTCTCTCTGCTGGTTGGTTAGCTTTTGTTGGTAGCTTGTAAGTGTGTTTGATAAAAGGTCCGCATAAGGTTGAGGTATTTATATAGAAATTATATTTGTTTGGTCTTCTTTGACTTTGTAGCTTTTGAATGGGATTAGAAGCTTAAGACTAACGTGTTGACCAGGGCATAATTGAAGAAGTCATGCACGCTGATTTTTTCGATAATGTTACACTAATCAAATTTTGAAATTAAATTTATAGTTTAAATGACATGACAGTTGATTTGGACTTTTTTATTTGATGTCATGTCATTTGAACCCCAATAAAAACTCAAAATAATATGCTGTCATGTTATTTGAGTTCCAAATTTAATCTCAAAATTTGGTCAATATAGCATTACTATTTTTTCGGATGATATTAAAGGCCATGCCCTGTGTTCTTGCTGGCAAAGGAGAACACGTGTGTTCACTATAGTTGAATTCGTCCACGGGTGTGTTTATTAGGCACAAGTGACGGAGTTATGTAGTGTACATACCCAATAAATTATTGTATATTCTAAACGAATTATCATCACTTATCAATTTGTCTAAAAAAAAATAAATAAAAATGCCCACTTATTTATTTGGTAAATTATTGTTGTGTAGTGTATGATAAAACATACAAAAAAATTTCCGTGATATGAGAGGAAAAACCAAGGAAAAATATGGGTTTAGGATAAATGAATCCAAGATTTGAAAATGTGAGTTGATTGACTGACTGTTCTCTTGTTCTTCCCTTTGAATTTAGAAATTGTTACCTGCTGAGGAGCAGGATGACCCCTACTTACTATATGCAAATAGAATTGTCGATGAATTGCAAGTTTTCTATACTGAATATGAGTTATATTCATGAATTTTATTTAATGAATTCTATTTGAATAAATCAATGAAAGAAGTGAATCATATATAGTTACAATTTTTTTGATAAAATTGAATTTAATTCATGGCTAACCACATGTCTAATGTGGTTAGTTGAAACTGATTTTTTGATTTTTAAGGGGTTTGAGTATCGAGTGTGCCGAATATACAAATAATTCAATTCGTTGGAATCTAATCTCTTGAAACCCTATTTCCAAGGACTATCCTACACCCTACTTTTTCCCGTCGTTTTTTTTTTAATTAAATGTGTCTCCATGGAAAAGAAATTCATATTTCAAATAACCATCATGATCAACCTCATTACCATACATGATTTTCTCAAAAGAAAAAATTGGACAGGACGAGCTTAGGCCTTCCAGTGGTTGGTGATCTAACCCTTCATACGATAAGTCCAACAAATGAATTAAGAAGTTGATTTACATTCCTTCAATCGGAAGACTTTATTGCTTATATTACATCAAGCAAAGTTGCATTTTTTATCAGAGCAAATTGGAAATTTGAACATTATCAGTTGAGGAAAGTCATCAAACTATACGACGGTTTCAATGTTCTATTACAAGGGAAACATTGGATAATATTGATTTCCTTCTTTTTTTTTTTTTGGTTACAAAAATAAAAATCCTAAAACTTTACAAGGAAGCCATGGGGCAATCTCAAACCCACTTCTCTTCTCCGGGTTGGAAGCCACTGGGCAATCTCGAGGGATTTGAAGCTTCCCTACCACTTATAGTAGAGTGTTGGTTCTTTGCGAGGTTCTAAATACTGAGAGTAGAGTGCATTGTTCACCTAGTTTCGTGGTTAAAGGTTAGTATACTAATCCTAAGAAGATTTCATTAAATAATGATGCGTCCACATACGTGTTTCCTAAAACGATATGGTCATGTAGGGGTTGATTGGATATGTTGTGTTTGTGGGGTGGACAATATATATTTCGGTGTATGAATTCTTGCTAGTTAAACTGCGTATATGAGATATTCCTAGTACAAGTTGTTATTCTATGAATTATTCATTACCTAATGAAATTGTTGTACATGTATCGAAACTTGATATTGTTACTAATGTCACATGATGGACTTCAAAATTGATATATGTTTATTTGTAAATTTAAGACCTACTTGTTTTCGTAAATGTGTAAACCTTGCTTAGGTTTGAGAAAATTTCTCTATTGAGCTAGTTGTGTTCACCCCTACATTTAACATTTTTCAGATTTAAGTTGAGAAAATAAGATAGAGTTAGATGTTGACTTTGAGGTGGATCCTAATATTGATCTGAATATTGACCGGGAAGTTAAAACTGGAGTAGTTAATAATTAGCTAATTTATGAATTTTATTATTATCCACATTCATGAGTTTTAATTAGCTTAATACGATTGATTCTTTTCCTTGGAAATTTTTGGATGTAAATATTTAATGGTTGATTTATGTTTTGGGTAGTTTTATTTAGATGAAGTGGATGTTATTTGTGATTTAAATGGATGGATGATCAATAATTTGTTAGATAATTATAAATGTTCTCATAAGCTAATTTTGAATTAAAGGAATTTTATTAAGATCTTGTCTGTTGTGAAATTGAGGCGTGACATGGGAAGGTGTAGAGCAGCTCTAGAGCCACATTAGTCACAATTATTTTTTATCACTAATAGTTTAGATAAGCAAATATTTAGTGACAAAAAAACTCCACAGCCACTGATGGTGTGTTATTTTTAGTTATTGCAGCAGGCTTCTAGCCTTCCCACCTTTTTTGCCTAACTAAACATATGTTCTTTCTCTCGACCTCTATCTCCCACACATGAGCTCACACATATACTGGCATCTCAACCTCTCTCTTAACTCTATCCCTCTAGCACTTCATGCATGCACGAGATTAGTGATGGCCTCACGAGATCTTTGATTGATTAGTTATAACTCAAATTCGATATAGATTTCTGAAATTGGATTTCAATTTCTTATCGTTTAGGAAACAATTCAAATACGATCAGTGATTAGCTAGGGCAAAAGATCTCTCAACTCTATTTCAATCTCCTCTCTATGCGAAGGGTAGGGTACAAAATTATTCTTTGCTTGACTCCCCTACTTGATCATCCTAGTAATGGCCATCCGAGCCTCCTAGTGTGATTTGTTGCCTTTGAACAACAATTCTACGGTTATGTTACTACCATTTATTGTATTGTAATTTGGTGTTTGATCAATTTCCATTAAATGTTCCCAATGGTGAATTTTGTTAATTTTTTTGGATGTAGCTGCTTCTTCACTTTGTCTCTCTGCCAGTTTCTAACGATTCAAGCATCGTCCCATCCTAACTTTGTTCAAGTGTTAATTGGAAAATAAGGATTGAGCTATCTTGTGTTTGTTGAAATTCCTATATATATACCACGAAGAGCGGAAGACATTAAATAATTAGTTAAAAGACTGACAATTACTTGTATTGACAAATGAAAATAGATTCAAATTAGAAATAATTGAAATTAACTTCAATAACTTACAACTAGTTTTACTTAAAGAAGTTCTCTTGCTGCATCATATGAAGACTTGGATACAAAGAGAAATATGGGAGAGGAGAGAATTTTGTAATAAAATTGGCTCTGCCTTCCTGAGAATGACTGAAGTCCTTATATAGGCGTAATGATTTCAGGAGAGAATCTTTGAAATGATTTCTCTTTTGACTTTTGGTGCTGCTTTTACTTAGGTAACTTGCTTTTACTTGGGTGAGATGTTTTTCACTTTTGCTTTTCGGTGGAAAAGGTGAAGTGAATCTCTTTTATTGTGGTGAATTCTGACTTTCAAGCAGGAGCATGTGACTGCTGGGCCTCTGATGCTGGCTGGAATCTACTTTCGGTGGAAAAGTTGATTGAGTGATTGATTGGAGGTTGACTGGTGGCTGCTTTACTGGTGGAAAGTAGCCTTGTTGCTGGATAATTCCATCGAGGTATGTAAAAGACAACTTTTCTTTATTTAGTTGAACAAAGTAGTGACTGAAGTCTTTTACATAATGATGGCAATCATGGACTGGAGAGATCACAAGCATCATTGGGGTCTTGGGCATCCTGGAAGGGATCCATAGATGGGTTGACTGATGCTTGTAATGACGTTGAAGAGGAATCATCTTCTTGTTGTTTTGCTGCTTGCTGGAGCAGTTCCTATGCTAGTTCAATTAGCTCATACGATTTCTTCTTTTGTGTTTTACTAGAATCATTAGATGATGATTTAATTTGATTTGTTGATGATGCCTCGACTTCTGGTGAAGATGCTCTGAGGGCTGGCAGAACCTACTTGGCTAGTGTTCTGGTAGTTGTTCTTGTAATCTTGACTGGAGTAGGAACTTTGATTGAAAATTCTTTTTCAACTTGGGCAATAATGCGACTGTGATCAAATCTTGGCCACCATTTAACATTGTATTGTCGGATGACAGTATTTGCTATGATATTATAATCCCACTTGCAAATCCAAGGGACTTTATATTTAACAATAAATAATAATAATATTGAAAAATGATCCTCATGTTGGCTAACCTTAAAACAGGATAAGAAATAGGCAACTTAATCTTGAAGATCAACTAGAAGGATTTCAAGCTTGGGGCCGTGAACCTGCCACCACTGTAAAAACTAAGAAGGAACTTGACTCTTAAATTCCTTGCTGAATTGTATGAATCAGGAATGAGCGTAAGACTAATCCTAATAGAGGATTAGTTTAAACCATGATTCTTTGTAGTCATAGTAACTACACAGTTTGATATATCCTGGAAGATCTCGAAGTAAAGAAGGGTGAGATCCCAATCTTTGGCTAGGATAAACTTCTGTATATATAAAGAATGATATATAATTTTGCTAGGATCATTCCTATAAGCAATAAGTTTGATAAAAATTGAGTGGGTATGAAACAGGTTATCTTGGTAAAATGTAAAAGTTTTCTCAAGATCCAAAG